TTGAGGAGCAGGATTTTGAATTCAATACTGGATTTAACAGGGAGCCAATGAAAGGAAGTTAATACAGGAGAATTTTGGATTAACTCAAGGCTTTTCAGGGAGTTTTTAGGACATCCTGATAATAATGAATTACAGTAGTCCAGCCTGGAAGTAATGAATGGATGAACTAGTTTTTCAGCGTCACTCTGAGACAGGATATTTCTAATTTTAGAGAAGTTACTTAAATGGAAAAAGCAGTCCTACATATTTGTTTAATATGTGCATTGAAGAACATATCCTGGTCAAAAATGACTCCAGGGTTCCTCACAGTGTTACTGGAGGCCAAGGTAATAGAATAGAAGAATAGAATAATCCTTTAAATGTCCCACAAGGGAAAATTTGGATGTAACAGCTGCAAGAAAGACACATATAAAAACAAACAGTACACAAGACACAGAACAGAAACATACACAATTTTTACATATTTACATCCTTTTAGGCACTGTGCGTCTAAGCACATGCCCATACGTGGTCTGTCACTTCATGGGTTATTTGCTGTGGTTCATAAACTGTTAAACTTTGTAATAACACCACTTCAGTTGTTCATGGCTGACTTGTTGCAACCTTGCTCTTTAGAGACCTATTCTTTTACAAAAATGAATAAAGGCAGATTGCATGGATAGGTGCTTGATTTCCATAGACCTGCAACAACAGAATGGGCCAACACCTGAACTGAAAGATCAGGAGGTGTGGCCTAATACCTTTATCTAAATAGTGCACCTGTTTTGCAAAACATTTCACAGTTTTCCCATCTTGTACAGATAATCTTCAGATGAAGCCCCATTATATTATAATTATTATAAAGCAATATTATAATTCTTGCTTTTTTAATTTCCTCAAGTATTTCCATCTAATACAGCCAATCAAAATCTACAGTGAAACAGTTCAAAGGAAATTAGGTCATCTTTCAGTAAAACTTGAAGTGAAACAGTAGCTGTGTAGCTGTTTACATATTTACCAAGCAAACAAAGGTTGCTGGTTCAATTCCAGCAGGAGACATAAATCAAATTTGTGTTGCGTGCGTGGCTGGGATGGTCATCTGGTGTAAGACAAATATGCAGGGTTACTTGTGCCAAGGGAGCAGCTGAAAGACTTAAAAAATAAATAAATATAATAAAGGATCAAAAATAAACAGCACACAGCCATGCTGCCCCATTTTGATGAAACACAAAATATTGTATCTGGAAATACAATCAGTCCAATAGTGCACTATAATGGATTCTACTTTTTTCTTTTTTCCCACAGAATTCAGAGGGATAGCTTTTAACTTTCACAAAGGTTATCTGATGGATTTACAAACTAATCTGTTACAGTCAGCCGAGATCACTTCACAAGCGAGAAGTGAGACCTCATTTCAGCAGCCGTTTCATCCTTTGAAACCACATTTGTTGCATGGATTCAGCACCTCTTTAAAATGATTAACTTAGCTACATACAGCAGCTCTGTCAGTACAGAAGTCTTGCTCAACGGCTGTTTAAAAGCATTTGTGTGTGCGCGGCAGTCAGTAAGGCGGTTTAAGGGAAGGGTGACCTTAATGTGAGAGAAGCTACTGTAAAAAACCAAAACAAACTTGTTTCAGACAGTGGATAAACTGAGGGGCTGCACGTTGTAGACAGTTTAATAAAAAAAACAACAACATTTTTGCAAAATTCA